CCTTCACTTGACTCACACATCCATGTGAACAAGTAATTAGTCTTGATTTTCCAATGCTTGAAAGTTCTACTGGAAGGTAACTCACCTCGATAACTGGAAGTAGCTGCAAAAACTCCGGCTCCGGATATCACCCGACTCAAACCCCTATACATAGAAGATTTCCTTTAACTCCCTTTTCATACTCATAACCCCTTAAGGGTCAACTTTGGTCAAAGTCCAAGTCAAGGTCAACATTCTGGTCAAAGTCAACATTCTGGGTTGACTCAACTCGCCGAGTTGGTCCATCAACTCGCCGAGTTCCATAATCATAAAACCCTGAAATCACGATCCAACTCGTCGAGTTCTTTCATAACTCGTCGAGTTCCTCCTATCAACAGAATCGGGACACCCCGACCCAACTCGTCGAGTTCCGCTATGAACTCGTCGAGTTCTTTAGTCTGTTAAGCCCTTTTTAATGGATTAAGCTCCTATTCTTCATATCTAAGCTCCATTCTTCACATATACACTGAAATTGTCCTTTTAAGGGTAAAGTTTCCAACATTACCCGTTAATACCCTTACTTAATGGATCTAGCTCAAACACTAACACTTTAGGACCTAGATCTTGGTCCACAAGCCACCAATACTCCAAACTAAGGCATATACACTAAGATCTAAACCCTAGATACTTCAGAAATACGTAAAGCTTTTAACTTTCCTTCCATGCATGGCCTTTTGGAGCTTAAAAGGCCAAAATGACACCCTAAAGCTTGCATGGGGCTTCAATGGCCATAAAGTTTGCACCTTTATGCCATGAAAGCTCTCCATGATTCTAGATCTGAAGGTATACTCACTTGGGACGTCCATTTCCCAAGGATCATGCTTCTTGGACCAAAAACTCAATAAAGTGATAATAAGGAGATCTAAGAATTCACTAAGCAAGTTTGACACTTGCTTACCAGAAAATGATGAGAATGAAGTGGTGTCTTTAGATCTACTAGCTTCTTCTTGAATCCCCAAGCCTCTCCTTCCTTCACAAGCTTCAACACACACAAAACTCACTCAAAATGACTCACAAGCTCATACAATGCCTTAGGGTTTCGTGATTTAGGGTTTGGGGACTTGGAGGCTGTAAATGAGGTCAGCCTTTGGAGGTTAAGGTGTTTAAACAAAACCCTGAAAATTAGGGTTTCATCATGTCAGTCCTACTCATCGAGTTGAGGCTCTCAACTCGTCGAGTAGACTTCACAATCCGCGTCCCAAATCCACCTCTACTCGACGAGTTTGGGGCCTCCAACTCGTCGAGTTTCTATACAAAAATGAATAAATTATAACTTTAAATACATATCAGGAACCGGGTGTTACACATTAAATCATGGAAAACGTTTCCAACTTTTACCCAAAAATTAGGAGGTATTTCTGGGTCTTCTGAAACAGCTACCCATGCTAATGTTAAGTTCTCTTCTTCATTTTCTGACCAATTCATCCTTTTAAGAGCCATTGATTTTGAATTTGTCAAGCAAAAGAAGTGTGTGATTGTAAGAAGAGAGAAAAGAATTGTGTGAGTAAAATGAATGAATAGGTGTGGTATTTATAGAAGAGGTTTAATGTTGTTTGAAAGGTAAAATTAAAAATAAAAAAAATAAATAATAATAATAATAATAAGATTTTAAACCCTAAATATGGCCGTTACTCAACAGCCAATCAAATTGTCCGTTTCCATTTGTTGTCCCGAGCACGAACGCTCACGACCACGAACCACCACGAGCCACCAGGATGGTGTGCACGGTCGTGGTTCGTGGCCACCTAGACCACGAACTCGTCCGTTGCAACCATACCGGACGGCCTTAGTGACGGATTGTTCCGCTCTTGAACCCATGTTTCAGTAGTGGGACCAAAATTAAAGTTTTCTCTATAATATAGTAATATACCATCTTATGTGGCTATTAATTTGTGTCATACCCATTTTTGATTATGAGAAGGAAATATATTATAAAGCTGGAATCTGGAATTTGTTTTTTTTTTCTAAATAATTTCATCTATCACGAGGGATTCCAATCCCTTCAAATAAATATCGAGTAACAAGTTAATACATGGTGGAATTTGAAACATGAACCCATAGGATTCCTCGTGCCCTTTTATTTATTTATTTTTCCAATTTATGGTATATGGATAATAGATATATCACCATCATGAACAATATAAAGAAAGCAACTCACGATGAAGACCATCAGTAAGGTATGTTTAGATTTTATGGTCCGTGTACGTTTTAAGGTTATAATGATATATATAAGTATTAATTATTTCATTTGTTAGCTTCGATGATGATGGTGGTGGGATCTTTTTTAGATAACCATCCTTTTTAAAATTGTAAACATCAACTATTCATGTTCGGTTTCTAAAAAGTTTTAAGAAATGATAAGTAAGAAGATGAGATTTTGGGCTCCAGGAAGAATTTGGAAAAAATAATAAGAAAATGAAAAACACAAAAGATAAGAGGGTGAGTGGCACACGCCACTGCAAGCCACTAATTGGTTGTTATTATTATTGTTATTATTATTATTATTATTATTATTATTATTTTTCACAATATTTATATATTAAGGCCCAACCTCCCCCCAATTGATATTTTGTATTTTAAAGCATGACTCAACAAGATACCTCGATTACATCATCCTGAATAATTCATTCATTCGTTCATCTGCTAAAAAACAAAGATTTTATCATTTTAATCCCGTACCTTAAGTAAAGCATGTGAAAATGTTAGGAGGTGCTTCAGGTTCAGAAACCAATATTCATGAAGTTTTCAAACCTACAGCTGGTGCTCAAAGGAAGAAGAGCAAAAGCAAGAACATAATTAATAACAGCAGCAGGAGGTTTAGTGATGAGCAGATAAAATCACTGGAGTCTCTGTTCAAGATGGAGAACAAGCTGGAACCAAGAAAGAAGCTAGAGATGGCTAGAGAACTGGGGCTGCACCCACGTCAGGTGGCTATATGGTTTCAAAACAGAAGGGCTCGTTGGAAGTCAAAGCAAGTAGAGCAAGACTACACATCTCTCAAGGCTGATTATGATACTTTATCTCATCGGTTCGAGTCTTTAAAGAAAGAAAAACATGCGTTGCTGGAACAGGTACATACGCAATTATATATTTATATTTAACTAATTTATAAACTAGCCAGCAAGCTAGTGATCATTAACTTATTTGCAGTTAAGAGACCTATGCAGTCGGTTAAAAGAGCCTCATCAAGGAAGCAGCAGCAAAGATTTGGACAGTGGGTCTGAAAATGGAGATACAAATTTGGAGTTGAATGGTAATTACTCAAGCGGTTTTAGCGGAGCATTGGACATGGCGATATACTCAGACGAAGATGATCCTCGCAGAAAACCCAATATGATGATCAGTAGCCGGAAAGAAGAATCAGAAAACGTAAACGTAAATCAATTGATCTCACGTGAATATGATGATGATGATGATGATGATGAAAAAGCTAGCAACTATGATCTGGGTAGCCTTTTCGATCAGTCATGTTCCAACTGGTGGGACGTTTGGTCATCAAATTCATAATAACCACCGCCGGCCACCTGCTGCTGCTAAATAACTTGTTTAACTAGTTTTCTATGGTTTGGAGATTGGAGTAGTAGCTAGGTGCTAATTAATAAATATTAGCTAGGTTTGAATCAAGTGTGATTAATTATTAATACATACTAGGATCTAGGTTGAATGTACTCTTAAATTAGATTGCAACTTACTTACTAGTATAGTACTACTGATGGAATACTGCCATGTCATGGGAATGGCAAGTGGCAAGTGGTTGTTAATTATGTGCCTGGGGAGGCTGTTTAATTTGTTTGCTGTCTATACTGTATAGGATGCCGAACTTGGTTTTTTTTTTACAAGGCTAGTGGGTGTGGATAGCGGGTGTGGTGTCACATTTGTCACGGTCCACGTAGGCGTCACGTCAGTTTTGCCACACTCCTTCAAATTTTTGTCATTTTCATCGCATGGGTTGTCATACTTGTCATGGTATTTTTTTTTCTAAATTAATTAATTTTAAAAAAAATAAACATTTCAAACATATAATTTTTTTTTAAATTAAAATTTCATTTAACTAGAATAATAATTAGGATTTATAAGTCAAAGGTTGATTCTGTAATTTTAGAAACTATTTATGTAGAGAGAATTTAGGATGGGGATACTTTTTGTTAGTAGACCAAACCCTAGGGACCTTGTATATTTTGTTGTCTTCTCCATCACTAGGGAAGTTTCTTTCATTTTTGACCTGCAACTTCAAAACAAAAATTAAATCTTCACTTTCTCTCCATTTTCCCCAAATCATACACTCTTTCTCATCGGTACAAATCTACCGAGTTGCCGAGCCGAGCTCGGCATGCTGAGGGCTCGGCCCGGTGTTCGCCGAGGTAGCCGAAGTGTTTGCCCAGTGATGAGACTTTTAATCCAAGGCAATTGGCCTACTTCCATAATCCATGTTCTCGATCGTAATAATCTATATCAGATGCCCATGAATTAAACAATAATAAAACATTTTCTGATCTGCAAAATGGCAAACCTTTATTTTAGACTTAAAACATTTTCTGATCTATTTGATTGAGATCTGAATCAACATTTGAAATATTTGTCTATGAATGAATACATATTGTTTGATTAAATCTGAATGAATGTGTTGAATGATAAAAATGATAATTTTACATTTCTATCCAACACATTGTAAAATTGACAGATTTTAAAATATAATGACATATAAGCATTGTATTGGCTAAATTGCAAGAATTCTTAGATTATGTTCTGCTTCCAAATAAAGGAGTTTACATTAATTTATGTCTTAAATTGCTTTAAATTGCTCTTGATTTGGAGTTCCATTGAGGGTGGTGCCGGCAATGAAGGAGGGTGGCATCCACAGTGGATGTGCAACGTCTCGATTTTCAACATAAATTTTTCATTTTTATTTATTCAATTATATCATAGTATAATTACATTATGCAGAAAACATGATGCGAATGCGCATGTGTACAGTCGGACCTTGCACTTCGCACGAATCAATGAAGTACCTGAAAAAGATTTATAATCAACTGGGTAAGCACGAAGCTTAATGGGTTCCCAAAAACACCATATACCACAATAAATATACAATGTATACACATAATGGTCTTCAACATAAATCTGGTCTACCCCTTGGCCTTTAGCAAAAAGTTGGTCTGCTCCTGTGCCTTCAGCATAAAGACGGTACGCTCCTTGGCCTTCAGCGTAAAGCTGGTCTGACCGAGTCTAATGGCCTTCAGCACGAAGCTGGTCTGCCATCAACTCCCCACATAATATATCAATACATATATAGCAAACAAACAGTTCCACACAACCTGCAACTAACTAATTTGGTCCATTGGCCTAATTGCATACTATAGAGTAGAGCTGGCAAAAATCGATCAAGCCCACTAACCTAACCCGAACCCAACCCAAAATTAGCAGGTTGTGTTGAGATTTTCAACCCATTAAAGTTAAATGGGTCAACCCATCTAACCCATTTAATTAAATAGGTCGGTCCGGGTAAAAATTATTAACCCGTTTTCAACCTACCAACCCATTTAACTTTAATTTATATTTAATTTAATAATTATATCAATATTATCATGTATTAATCTAAGTATTAGTTTATAAATTACAATGTTCGTATTATTATTTATGTTTTAGAAAATGGAATCTTAATTCCTATCTTTTTTTATTGGCATCGACAACACAGTCACTCTCCAAAATTACTTAGAAATTACATATGTTTAGTGTTATTTGAACAATTTCTTTTTATATGTGAATTGGGATTGTGTTTTTGTCGTACTTTGAAATTTTATTTAAGTATATATAACTATTTTAAGTGGTGTAATCATTAGTTAATTAATTAATTAATTTTTATTTTAAATGGGTCAACCCAAGTTTAACCCATTTATTTAATAGGTTGGGTTGGAAACTACATAAATAGGTCAACCCAGTGACAACCCATTTATCTAAATGATTGGGTTGGGTTGGAAATATCAATCCATTTAAATAAACATGTTGGGTTGGGTTGAAATCTTCAACCCAATTAATAAATGGGTCGAACCTGAACCCAACCTAGGTCGACCCATTGTCAGCTCTACTATAAAGCAACTACATCCTAAAATGCAGAGGATACATACTTGAGTATATAGTATAGTGAGAAAAACTCACCTGGACAATTACTCAGACGATTAACAGCTATCCTTTTAACGATCCAACTGGTGGGTAACACGTTTAACAAGTATTAACCTATAATATTATAATTATAACTTATTAATATTTATGGCAATCTGGTAGAATTTAGATTATTCATTAGTTCCAAATACGCTTTCATGGCTATCAAATAAGGATAAGTGAGGCAGGACAGTTGAGAGGCATGACCATTTCGGAATATAGTTTTTCTAAAAACCAAACAACCAAGACAACGTGTCCATTCTAGACACATCTCCCGTAAGTAGACCAACCAGAATATTTAACTAGAATTAATGACTAATCTGGTACTTATAGGTTCCTAATAACGACTATAAAAATAATTATAAGTTACCCTAAAAGCCTAGTAAGTGTAGCTTAACTTACAGCGATTTCTAACAAAAACCGGGAAAATCGCAAGCAAAACTTCGATATCGAGCACTTCTTTCTGTCCGACTCTTTGTTGCCTCAGAGCCTTATTAATAATACTTCAGAACTCCGAAAAATCAAGAATCTAGAGGAAATAAGGTTCTTTAGAAAGAGAAACCCAGGTGTGATGGTGTAAGGAATGAGAGGTGGTTGAAAGGCTTTATATTGTCAGAATTCTGGCAGGGCGTTTCGTGCCTACCTACCAAGTGCGTCGCGCCTTTTGGTAGGTGGGAAGGATGGGTCTCGGGTGTGCCACATAGCTGCCTATGGGCCGCCTATTCCGAGTAAAATCGTGAATTAAAAAATTCATATCTTTCACATACGAGTTCTGTTTTCGACATTCTTTATATCAGCGTGTAGCTATCAACGAGTACTACAACTATTATTTAGACTCCTTCGGCTAATTCTCATCCTATATTAAATTTAACAGTCTATGGAGATTACACTACAAAGGATCGTGTAAAATTCAATACTCCTTCATACGGACTCCATTCTCGACTATCTTTATATCGATGGATTGGTATTTACGAGATCTTCAACTCTCATTTACATTGTTTTGGCTAATTGTGACAACTCCATTTTACGCTCATTTTAAAACATTTTGTTTATGCTTATTGAAAACATTTGTTATTGTAGAATTGGTCCCAAAATACCCTTGACAGGATATAATATCAAAATCAAGGCATTTTAGAAGATTTTATATTTTAAAAGTTTGGGATGTCATAACTGATACAAGAAACAAAAGCATAAATAGAGAATTACAACATCTCAATATACTAATAGTCTACATCTCCTTGAAGCTCTCATCATTCATGTACCTTTGTACCATTACCTGTGATACAAAGAAGCTGAGTGGGTCAGGTTGGGAAACCTAGTGAGTACATAAGGTTTTCAACCCACAATAATATAGTTAATATGTTTAGTTATCAAACAATTAACCCAATTACTCATCCCCATTTTCTTCTATATTCATTTTAAGATCTTCTCCTCAGAATCATCACCTACATCGTCATTTCTTATATAATCATCACATATCATCGCATTATATATTTTCATCGATAATGGTTTCTCTTAATATCTGCTGCCTATCATCGTAGTTTATATTTCCAACGCTAAGGACTTTTCCTAATGTTCATCATCTAATCATCGCATTGAATGCACGGTTCTTACATCACCTGAACTCGTAATTCGTCGATAGAGTACATCGCATGAATACACGATTCGTACATCACCTGAACTCGTAAATTCATTAACTACAGGTTGCAAACCTGCCGGTGTTCCATTGGATTGTTTAGATTAGTCAGTGGTCGTCGTCTATACTCTGATAGATGACTACATCGTAATTATCGCAACTAAGGGTCAGGGCATCTCCTAATCATTTTTCATCGCTCATCTTCAATATCTCATCACCCATCAGGCCATCACTACCCTATATATATATATATATATATATATATATACGAAAATACTTGTATAATACATCGAGTAAAATCATATCATATAAGTTCATCCAGCACATATTGCAGATAATTGGCGCACATAGCATTTAATTATTTAAATACTTCATATCTATATGTAAGATGAAAGTAACTATGCACTCACCTGTTAAAGTGGATGACTGAAAATTCGGGCAGCACTTCGCTTCGGTACTTGGCTTTTCCTTTTGATGCGACCTAGGTTCATATTACTAAGTCTTAGTCTTATATTCCTGACGACTAATGATAGTCTAGATTCATCACTAATCTCAATGTCTATATAAAGATCTATCAAGTAAGGAACAACCACGTAGGTCATATCGGAGGTAGGGACCGTTTTGTATACAGAGTATATTTGTTTGGAAATCTCATTTTAAACACCACACTAAATCCAACCTAGACATCATCTCCGTAAGTAGATCAATCAGTATAATGACTTGGAATCACGGATAAATCTTAATTATAGGTTCATAATAACGAGTATGAATATAATTAAAAGTTGTATTTGAATAAAATAAGTGTACCTTCACTTACAGAGTTTTTCGATGAAAAACAGAAATTAAGCGGGCGGAATTCCGATCCGAGAGTTTCTATTCACCGGATATGTGACATCGAAGGGCTTCAGTAAAGGGGTTGGGAACTCGAGAGAAAAAGGTCTAAAAGGCTAGAAAGTATTCCAGAGAGAATTGGAGTGAAGGATGTGAAGAAAAGTACTGAAAATCGGGGGTATATATAGGCTAGAACATCATATGCGCCGT